AAAGGTCTTTTCCAACCTAAATGATTCTATGATTCTATGAAATGTTAATATTGGCTGATGAAGCCAATACAAAGACTTTTTTACTGCCTGCCTACTTGCACGTGGAAGTTCTCTGCCTCTATCATTTCTGCAGAAGTGAGGTTATAGAGGGGCTTCTCCAGGAAATGGTTGCTATCCCAGTAGCTCTTTTTTCTTCAGGTATTTCTAAGGGCTTCTGGTATTCTAAAATGACTCTGCTAAAATGACTTAGGTTTTCTACAGAGCTGATTGGTTCAACTGTCATCTAGCATTCCAGATCCTTTGACTGGTGTAATTTATTTTTTTATTGTTTTGTGATACTGAATAATCGCAATTTTTTTTTCTCCCCAGTAAAAGAGAGGAAGAACAAATTTGAGGGTAAGTGCTCCTTGAAAACTCTGAGGATATCTTGAAAATATAAAATCAAAGACACTGTTCTAGGGCGTTTTGATTTCTTGGACATGAATCTCAGAAATATTGGCATAGAATCATAGAATCATAGAATGTTTTGGGTTGGAAGGGACCCCTAGGGGTCATCTAGTCCAACCCCCCTGCAGGAGCAGGGACACTGCTAACTAGATCAGGTTGCTCAGAGCCCTGTCCAACCTGGCCTTGAATGCTTCCAGGGATGGGGCCTCCACTACCTCTCTGGGCAACCTGTTCCAGTGTTTCACCACCCTCATTGTAAAGAATTTCTTCCTTATATCTAGTCTAAACCTACCCTGATAAAGGGTTTGATGACAATTGTTCACATTGTCCTTTATAATTAAAAATATTGACCCCTCCATAGATAGCCTGAAATAGAGTAAATCACTCGGGGTAATTGTCTGATGCTTGCAAGATGGTGAACAGGCTGATATGCCGTGATCTTATCGATGCCATAATTGCTCTGAAAATGCTATTGTTCTATGCTTCATTTTTTGCATGGCTGGGTCACAGTAACCCATGCATTCTGATGTTTTGCCTCCTCTGTTTTAATCCTGCTAAGCATTCCCACCATTGTTAGCAAAAAAGAAAATTAAATAACAAGCCTGGATCTGTTTACTGCTAAATTGCACCCCGTGGCTGTGACGCTGATCCTCTCGTGCAGACGGTTGAGCCTGAAG